CCAGCATCGCGGTAGCGAAAGCTACCACAACGAACACGGCTCGAACGCCCATGTCCTGCCAGGGGTGCCATGGTGTGCGTAGCATCATATGCAAAGTAGCTTCGAGGTTTCCAAGGTCCTCGCCATCGTAGCCGGCGTTTCGCCGGGCGCCGCTGCTACGAGGTCATCTTGCAAGTATTGTGAACGTCGTGCGCGGGTACGCAACGCCGAGACGCGCGCCGGCGACGCACTGCGTCCTGCGGCGCGCTCGTTCTGTGCCGCTTGGTCGTGTTTCTCCTGCGGTCCTCGAAGTTCGAAGTTACAAAGATGCAAGGAATAAAAAAGACTGGCGGAATGCAGCCGATCCCCATCGTTTTATTCGATGTCATCGAAGTCGAAGCACGGGCTGGGATTTTCCCTGGTGACGACGCCAGCGCCATTTGCGAATAGAACTAATGTCCTTCCTTCCGAGCGTCGTGCCCCGCCTCAAGCAAGCCGTGCTCGCGCAGGACTTCATCGCGAAGAACCCCAAGGTCGTCTCGTTCCTCGAGCACCCCGCGGGCCCCTTTACGAGTCCGGACTTTGCCTCTCGCATCCTTGACTCATCGTGACGACTAGTTCACTTTTGGGCGCCGGCGTTCAAGTGGTGCATCTCGCTCGCCAACGTCGCCGACATGAAGAAGAACCCGGACTTGCTCTCGACGCCGCAGCAGGTCGCTGTGACCTTGACCGGCGTCATCTGGTCGCGCTACTCGCTCGTCATTACGCCCAAGAACTGGAACCTCTTCAGTGTCAACCTCTTCATGGCCGGCACGGGGTTGACCCAGCTCTACCGCAAGGCCCAGTACGTCGTTGCGCTTACGACGACTTGTGAATGGAGGAGGCTCATGGATCGCGTACTGCTGTGTAGCTGGGAGTACATGGGCGGCCGCGACGAAGCGGCCAAGGCGGCCCTCAAGACGGAATAAGAAGCGTATTCGATTGCTTTCAATACACGTGAGATTGCTCGTTGCGTTAAAACCCTCGGTTTGGCTGCGGCTGCTGGCTGTAGCTCTGTGCCCCGTACGGCGCTGGCTGCGGCGGACCTTGCCGCGGACCGTACCCTGGATACGGTGGAGCTGGCTGGCCTGGGCCATATCCTGGCTGAGGCGCACCATACACAGGCTGAGGAGCCCCATACGCAGGCTGGGAAGCTCCATACCCAGGCTGCGGGGCGCCATAACCAGGCTGCGGCGGGCCATACCCAGGCTGAGGAGGAGCAGGGGGAGGGGCGCCGTATCCAGGGTGGGGAGCTCCATACGTAGGCGGAGTAGCACCATACGTGGACTGTGGGGCTCCATACGCAGGCTGTGGAGTACCGTATCCTGGCTGTGGAGTACCGTATCCTGGCTGAGGAGCACCATACCGAGGCTGAGGAGCACCATACCCAGGCTGAGGAGCACCATACCCAGGCTGAGGAGCACCATACCCAGGCTGAGGAGCACCATACCCAGGCTGAGGAGCACCATACCCGGGCGGCGGCAGCGGGTTATGTTCAGGTTGGGGCGCGTACCCGCGAGGTGGCGGCGCAAAACCCCGGAGCGCTGGGCCACGTTGGGCGAGGCCTGGAAGCGGTCCATACCCTGGATAGGGCGCGTTGGGCATCCCAGTGGCAGCTTGCGGTGCGTTGACGTTGACGGGATTGGGCAGCAGCGCCCCGAGGTCGGTCATCTTGATGGGCGTCGGGGCCGCGGGGCTGGCCGGCGTCACAACCGGTCTATTCCAACTTGGCAATCACTCCCTGTCCCCAAATGACGCGTACGGGAGATCGGTCGAGAGGTCAATCATGTCGAGCTTCTCAAACGCCTTGTCCATCTCGATCTTGCGCTCCTCTTCGTACACTTCATGCGCGTGTTGCTCCTCGAAGCTCTGGATGCCCATCTGGATGTCCTGGAGCCAGTTGCTGCGCTCCTTCTCGCTGCTTGCGCACAAGAGGTGGCCGCCAGGGATCCCAGCCACGTCAATCTTGAAGCCAAACGTGCCCCGGGGCGCGTCCGCAAACTACAAGTTTCAAGCGCCATCGACCACACGTCCATGGTCGTTCGTACCTGCGCCGTCATGGCTTGGATCTCGTCGTTGATGGGGATGATGACCATCGGCATCTTGCCCTTCATGTCGTCGTAGAGGAGAAGCGCGTCCGGGCGGAGCACTGCGTACATCTTGACCCAACTAAGCCCGCTCTTGTTGCGATAGAGCGCGCCCCGGAGCACGGTCGAGTTCATCTCGCTACAGTGCAACCCATGAGCAAGTGGAGACACAGCGACCGAGACAGTACACGACTTCGGTGACCGAGCACGCAGCGTACTGCATCCCGTTGAGTTCGCGCGCTTGCTTGGTCTAGCATCCTTGTCATGGAGCCAAGACGATGCAGCAAGAGTGGGTACCATGTACGTCTTGGCCTCTTCCTGCTCGACCGTGTCCAAATCGACATCTTCGAGCTCGGCCTGCACCGACATCCACTGCGCTGGCGTCGTGAGCCGGTACTGGCCGCCGTACTTGTCCGGTAGACTTGGCGCCTCAAAGTACTGCTGGAGCTCCCGCAGGTCTGCGACAAAGTGCACCTTGGCGGCCGTCGCCTCGGCCGCGCCGAGACCTTTGAGCAGCAGCGACGTTGCGCCGCGCATGAGGAGGCTATTCGCGGCCATGTGCAGCACAAACACCAACTGGGTCGTCTCGGGGAAGTACTCCTTGAGCATCTGCAGCAGCTGGAGGTGTACCGAGCTCGCGTCCGAGACCATGGCCGACGAAGCGCGTTCAAGGTCCACGAGGTAGACGATGCCAGGGGCATGTTCGTCTTCCATGAGCTCGATCGCGAGGCTCACAATGTACACAATGTACCGGCGGGCGTCCTCGAGCGTGCTCGTCGCCTCGGCGTGCCCGCCATGGTCCTTCGCGAGCTCGTTCCCGGCCACGAGCTTGTCGCTTTCGGACGTGGGCTTGAAGCGCGACGGGTTGAAGAGCACGATCGGGCACTTGCACTTGTCGTGCGCGTCGTGCAGCACATGGAGGTAGTCCTTCTTCGCCTCGCGCTGAAGCGATGGCTTGGCGAGGCTGAGGTTGCCAAGCTGGTGCTCGGCCAGCCACTTGGCCTTGGCCTTGAGCTGCATCGCGGCCTTGGTCACGTCGCCGTGGTTCCGGCGCAGCGACCGCACGTACTCATCCGGCGAGAAGACGTCGGGCTCGGCAACTGCGGCGCGGAGCGCCTCCACGGCCGACGGGATGAAGCCAGCATGCATCTTTGATCCGTGGCAAGTCTAGAAGTCCGGATACGAACGGCTTCAAGTTTGTATCCGGACGCCCGAAAGATCGCAACCCGTCACCGCCCCAGCCCTCTCACCTTGAATCGGATAGATAGATAGATAGATAGATAGATAGATAGATAGATAGATAGATAGATAGATAG